AAAAATTGGGAAGTGAAAATTTCGTTCTTGCGTGGCTTGTCTATTGCTGATGAACTACACATCATCAAACTGAGAAAGAAAAAGCTGCAATAAAGCTTGGTTTCAGCACAATACCATGCAAAAACGTTGACTGCAACACGAGGGGTTATTCGATGCATCTCGTTTACTTAGCTTGCGTAAACATGTGCAAAACATTATCTGATGAACTAGTGCAACTATATCGAATGACTAGAAAACTGCTGAAATCGCGTGTCCCGCAAAGGCAAATCCTCAGATGTGTAGTGGGAGAAGTACAGTGACAGCTGCTTTATTCATCATCGAATTTTTACGGAAATTCAAATGCACCGGATTGCAGAAGATCGAGAGTGTAGCGATTTTGTGGAGAAATCAGGTGGGAAATGAAACACTATTACGCTCGCCAGGAAGTATCGAGCATTCGTCGGCTGCAATATTAGATTTCAACCACGGCTACCCTTTAGATGAATTTTATCTAAGCTTAGGCTCCATTTTCTCTCCTAATGCGGCAACTGGCTGTTGGCGGTGCGTTTCGAATCCTACAATGACTGTGGAAGCTTTTCAGATACAAGATCCGGGATTCGCTCTATATGTAAGGCTTCCTCATATCATGTTTACTTTTGCTCGGATTGGTATTATCATTCCAATTACGGGGTATTTTATGTCTGCGCATGTTTACAAGTTAATCAGAGCCGCTGTTAAGGATGTAGCTTTCCAAATCTCTGTTCCGACACTATGTCATGAGCATCGGCTCTCTACATCTAGCCACCTCGATCACACGTTTATCACAGCTCTAGAGAGAGCTACTCGCTCTCCTCTCTATCTTCATACGTCAGCCATTTCGCTGAACACACCCTCGGGAAAACCAAGTCAAGCAGAGGTCGCGTTCCTGGCTGAACTTGGCCGAGCACGGTCGACTTGCCCACCTTCCGAGGTCTCCAAGCTCTGATTTAAAACCGCCCCTAATTTGAGCTTATTTGACTAGACTCCATATTTTTCCTCAAGCATGAGGTAAGTAGATTCTTGAATTTGCTCCTATTCTGTGGGATGCGCAAAAAAA